TCTAGACCGAACTCGGGATCGATCCAAAGGCATTGTGGTTCACTGAAATATAGTTTTTGTAGCAGAGGATGTGTATTTACACAGACCATGAATAAAACAAATCCTCTTTAAAGAGGTCCTCCACCCTATCATTAAAACACTCATTAAACACTGTCATTAAACACATCAGTTCAGGTGTTCGCTCTGTTAGCTCTGTTAGCTCTGACTACCAGCTCACTGTTCCTGTGTCGAGGCCACGCTCCCTAAAGTCTCTGTCCTTTGCAGATCTCTGATGCATTTTGTAAATGTGCAGAGAGGAGGTTAGCAGAGCTGAAAGGTTGCAGTTACACTTTAAACTTCACTTTGACTTAGATTTTCTTTTTTTTTCCCCTCACAGGAAAAACCCTCTTCACAGGAAAGAATTCAAACACACAAAGAAACCAGGTAGGAGGCTTCTGGTTGTCTTTCTTTGTTTTATTGTTGATTGTAATTAACAGTGAAATCAGTCAGCAGACAGCATGTAGCATCAACACTGCGGACACAGTTAACTCATAATCCTCCTTTCAAATCTGTTGAGTTGTTAATCAGTGAAAAGGGTCTGTTCTCGACATATAATACATTTAAATTTGAAATATATTCCTTGATGTCAAGGTTCTTTAAAATGCAGGATAAAGTCATTAACTGGGTCCATTATACATATTTGATACAGCCTCATTTTTCTCCAACATTTGAAAGGAGAGAACATTTAATAACAAAACATTATGGATGGTGAAGTTCTATCGCTCTATCACCACTTCAGGACTTGAACGCACTACCAAGAAGGATCCTTATTAAAACTCTTAAGATGAACGCTATGTTACAAAAGCTGCAGTTCCTCTATAACGGCCACCAGAGGCTCCAGCAGTCAGTCTCCATAAGGCCTCATATTAAAACTTTACAGCAGAAATAAACATGTTTACAGCCTTTTGGTCCCTTAGGTCGACTGGACAACTCACCTGTTTAAATTATATGAAGGCTTAAAGTTGTCCATAATTAAAGGTCGTGGCTGCTTTGAGCTACCCTGGAAGTTTGGAAACGCATTTAATAAAGCAGCAGCTCTGCCTCACACACACACACACACACACACTCTGTCACCAGAGTCGATCGGCATCTATAAACCGATTGGGACCTATTGATTTATTTTTGTTAGCAGGTTGTATAATTTAACCTCGGGACATTAACTCCCCGCCACAGAGGAAAACAGTCTTGTGACCCCAAACGTTTAATGACAAACCGCTCTTCACTGATGAGAAGCGTCGCTCCTCAGAGCAGAATTTGCACTTTGATGCCTCAGTTGACATTTAGTTTACAATTTATTCTCCGTCACTCGTCTCGGTCTCCTGATTAAAGACACGCCACCTCGCCCCGACCCGTGTTTATACCCTCAGGATGAAGACACACAGAGAAGAGTTGATTATTTCTCCCACACTGATGTATTTATAAGAATCAAGAGAATTAATTATTTAACACAAGGTAGTGTAATGAAATGTTTGCAGTGCAAGATCATTCAGTTCATAGAATAACATATAAAATCTAATAAAACAATAAATACATTATTTCTTTGTTATTTACACCCAGGAAATAATTCTGCAGCTTGAATTTGGTTGAATTTAAACAGAAGCAACAATTTTGCCTTTAGCCCTTAAAACCAAACCCGATCAGATTTCAGCAATAAAGCCTTGAAGGAACTACCGGCCGCTACATTTACACAAGCAGCCGTTGCCGTGGCGTGGAAGACCGAAGAGAAGAAATAAGATATATCGATGATTTCTGGCGTAAAATAAAGAAATATTGACATTGAACATTGTTCAACAACATGAGCAGCTGATATGACTGACTACAGCTCGCCGTCTGTCTGCAGCCTTTTATTTCACCAGGCTCTTTAAACTCTTTATCCAACCACTAAAAGTCCCACGTTCACTCTCCTCTGCTTAACCTTCCTCCATCAACGTCCTCTCAGCTCTCTGATTCTCTGACGTTAGCAGATGTCCATCGAAGCTGCTGAACCTGGTTACGTCCGGTTCTGGCTCCCGCTCATTCCTGGCCTGAAAACATTCTCCTTCCGGCAGCCCAAAGCTCAAACACTCCCCCCCCGGTGCTCTGAGCTCCGAGTCCCGGACAGTACGGCTAAACTAACTAGCACACAGCAGAGGCTTCTTTTAGCGGCAGTTACTTTACTGTCCATCAGGAAACAATGTCTCCCTAAAATCTGATCCAGTTTCATTAATATCAGTCACATAGTTGTTGGTGTGTGACTGTGTGAGTGTTACCACAATAACAGTGAAGCTGTTACTTTAAGGTAGAAAAGTTACATCATGGGGCTTTAAGTTGTCGACCTGAAGGTGGCGCTTCATGTAAAGTCAGAGGACGTAAAACAAGTTGTTGAGATATTTCACTCACTGTTTAAAAAGTTGGTAAAATGTTCCCACAAAATCCAAAAAACACTTTGTAGAGACATCGTGATGAAAGCAAACCTTATTTTAAAAAATAAATGTCAAATCTTCTTTTTGTCTTTTTCTTTTTGCTCCTCATCAAAAGTAGAAACCAGCTCATCAAAGAGTTTTTAGAAACGCAGTCAGAAAAGCCGTTCACAGAGCTCGTCTCGGGGGTTTTAAGCCTTTTACTTCTTCTGTGACTCTAAAGCAAACCTGTTCCCTGTTTACAGCCCGCACTACTCGCACCGCCCCCAACAAGACCTCCGCCGATGACGAAGACGAGGACTTTGGGGACGACGACAGCTTCATTAATGACGACAGCGAGGACGTGGGCGACGACTCGGACTACGAGCCCCCGGACTCGGATGAGGACTTCAAAGGACTGCAGAGAGAAGCAAAGGCCCTTCTGAAGAGGAGGAAGTAGACTCAGACTCCTGTTTGTTTGTTTGTTTGTTTGTTTGTTTGTCTTAAAGCTGCGACAGGCGGCTTTTTATGTGCACTGACAGACCGGTGACACTGCCAATGAGACTGAGGCAGCAGCTGAGGCCTCGACAGACTCCGGTAAAGCTGGAAATGAGTCTGGATCTCACTTTAATACTGTTGTAGTGCTGCCGGTCTGTAAAACCGCCCTTGAAACAAATGACTTGTTCTGGTCTTACACAGCCATATTCAGTCCAGATTAGAATTACGGTGGCCAGATTGTGTCGGGTAGAATATTAATATAATACTGGACCACCAAAACCGTCTATCAGTGGATTTTTTAATACTTTTCATCCAAATCATATTGATGTAAAAACTACTGAACTGTCAGTGAAGACCAGCTTCCCTCTGACAGATAAAACCAAACACGCTGCCGCTGTCTGCCTCACGTGGATCAGGTGGATCAGGTGGATCAGGTGGATCTGGTGGATCAGGTGGATCAGGTCTCTCAGTCTATGCAGTGAACTCTGGTTTCTTCAAACAGGAAGTGGCGAGCAGAGACCTGAAAGTTAAACACCAACAGCACGTTGAGCTCTCAGGACCTCGGCGTCGGCCTCTCCTCTGTTTACTCACGTCGTATTTAACATTTCTGAGTTAATTTTTGTTAAACATTCGCTTCCTGCTGCCATCGTGTCGCCATGGCAACGTCAGTCACAACGGACTGCAATAATTCAGGTTGATTTGAAGGACAATGTTTTTGTATGAAAATCCTGCCTCATGCAGCTTTAAATGAAGAAATATTCTCATGCCGTCTGTTCTGCAGATATAAAAACGATTTTATTTCCAATGAACCTCGTCTGTTTTTGTTGATTGAGTCTGTCTGTGTAAATATGTCAAATTTAGGAGTTTTAGGAGTAGATCTCTTAGAATTTTTTTAGTAACAGAAATCCACCAAAAAAAACCCACAAAATGATTCTATATGTAATATTCTCAAGCATTTCATTTGATTAATCACTTTTTATTACCAGACAGTGAACAGGTTGTAGTGTAGCT